ATTATGCTAATCAAATATAGGATGTATTTTGCTATAAATTTGCACATGTCCAAGTTTGTTGTTCTGCTATGCTTACTGCTTATTACAGAAAATGAAACTCTATTAGTCTATGTTCTTGTCATAGGTTGTGAAAAATAAATTTGTATTTACAATTTCCTTGTATTCACAATGTACTAGAGATCAAAAGAGGAGATGAAGGGGCTGAAATAAGGCCACTTAATAATCTCTTATTCCCATTATAGCAGAACTGCTGTAATGAGCTGGTTTTCTCCTGGGTCTTCTCCCTGGCTGCACACCGTGTCCTGAATGCTGGGATATCTCAACAATGACCCTAGTCTTGGTTTTGAGAAATCAGAAGAGAAATTTGCAAGGCAAAGATAACTATCATCTAGCCCCAATATGGCTGAAAATGGCAGTCCCATCCTCCATCTCTGAAGTGACCCAGTGAAGGAAGAGCAGATGCTTTCATAAAAAGAAGATCAGACTCATCATAGTTCCAGGAACATAAATTCCAGCTCTGAGCGTAACTCAACATGCATAGCTTCACAGAGCTGATTCTTTAGCACTAAGTAGGTTATTGCATTTATTACATTCATCCTTGTGATGATTACAGGTGATTTTGGGAAAATGCTTGACACATGATCTATTCTTGTCACGTGTTACCTAAATCTTCCTCTGAGGAAGCTACAAATAGATGAAAGTTTGTTTGCCATTCCTATTTGCACGGTCCAGCACCTATACTATGGCTCAAATAGGATTCCTGCCCTGACCACAGTGTGATCACAGGTGCTCTAGCTAATGAGGTTTCACAGCCACATTCTTGCCCTGAACCATGATGGCATTGGTATTACTCAAAATTGAAAAACATCAACTGAGATATTATATGGCCATTGACCTGTTTACCTCAAAAGTTCATTTCTACTTTAAAAGCACAACTTGTTTATTCCCATTTACTAGTGGACTTGTAGTCCACTTAATTGCCCTGTTAGCAGGAAAATGATTGTCATTAATCTTACAATATGTAAGTGGGATCTCTCCACTAGGTCAAACATTCTTTGAGAATTATTTGTCACAGAACGAACCCACTTATTTTTTATTACAGATTTTAAAAAAACCACTAGTTAACAATTATAGATGTCAACATAGGAGTCACAGGGCTCTTGAACGAGCACTATGTGGATTACAGCATAAAATCTAAACCTGGACCTCATGATGTTTTGTTTCGCAATACTGGGGATTGAACCCAGAGCCTGCACACTGTGCAGCCATTTTTTTTTTTTTTTTTTTTTTTTTTTTTTTTTGGTTCCGGGGATCAAACTCGGGTCCTTGTGCTTGAGAGGCAGATGGCAGAACCACTGAGTTAAATCCCCAGCTGCTGTTTTTTGTTTGTTGGTTTTTTTACTGAGCAGCCATTTTTAATGAATGCATCTCTCTAAGTCACTAAGTTGCCAGACTGGGCTCAAACTTTCAATCCTCCTGCTTCCGTTTCTGAGAGTATGGGGATTACAGGCATGGCCATCACAGCTGGCTCCAACAATGACAGTCAAAGAACATGGGGTCTGAATAGCTCATTTTCAAGCTAACTAGTACTGGAAAGATATGAAAACAACTGAAACTAAATAATTATCTTCATATTGAGAATGGGACATTTCATGCCAGTGAGAAAGTTAAAATCCTAATTGTCATTTTCTAGTCATTTATTAGTCATCTGATTGATGTGGCCCTGTATTCAGTGCTCTCATTCAAAGCTATCCAAAAGCTATCTAGAAGGATTCCAGCTCTGACCACAGTGTGAACATGGTGCTCTAGCTACTGAGAGTCAGGCCACATTCTAGCCTTGAGCCATGGCAGCATGAGCACTGCTAAAATCTAAAAACACATCATAATGATGCACTCAGAGCACCATTCAGGGCAGCAATCCAAAGCTAGACCCAAGGCCAGGATATGGTTCCATATCCCTATCCTAGTTTGATATACACCATCCCAGACTCTGAAATTTTCAATTGGTACTGAAGGCAAAGTTGCTTCAGAGATACAGAAGTGTCTTCTATTTATAATTTCAGCATGGCAATATAAAACTTTAGGTCAAAGCAAACATATCAAGTCTCTCATCAACAGACAGCACTAAAGTGGTTACTCAGTTATTCTGAAGTTAGCTGAATTTGACCTTAGTTGTTAAGTGCTGTGTGAATATGAATAGTGTCTGGTCCTATGTAAGCCAGGTGTAGTGTTGTACCCCCATAATCAAAGCATTCTGGGAGGCCAAGGGGAGAGAATTGCAAGTTCAAGCCTAGCTTAGGCAACCTAGTGATTTAGTGAGACCCTGTCTTAAAATTAAAAATAAACACAGCTTATTACAAAGGACCAATGTTAAATTCTCAATTAAAAAAAATCATATTATGGCATGAAAGTAGAGGAATTTAAAGATTAAAATGATGATAAAATGCTGTAAATTTAAAAATTAATTCTTTAGTTGATCAAAGATCCAATTTTAACACAAAACTTATACTCACAGCCCAACTCCAATATTATGAAGCCTTTTCTGCTTTTCCAACTAGAAATTTTCTTTCTCCTATGAATCTTTTATACCTCCCCTTAAAACTACTCAACTGGTGATAACACTACCTTAAACTTTGAAAACTTATGTTTATGCCAGAATTGGGGTAGATGTTTTATATACATTTTTCTCTAATCCTCATAATAACTCTGAAAAAATAGATTTATCTCTATTTTATAGATAAGGAAACTGATACTTAGAAAGTTATACAACTAGTAAGGCATAAAATCAGGATTTAAACCCAGATCTGTCTTACAGAACCTTTGCCTTTCAACTACTTCTCAATCCTGCCTCTTGTGGTGTGATAATTTTTACTACCAAATTTAAAATAATATCATTTCCAACTGAGTTGGGTCTTGACCTTGAGTAAATTATTTAATATTTCAGTTTCTTAATTTTCTTGGCCATAAAATAAAGATAAGCTCTTACATTGTTGTGAAGATTAAATTTAAAAATGTATGTGGGAGTGTTTTATAAACCACACTGGTTTTTATTATTACATTTACTAGGTTCCATATTCCATTAGATTAAGGTCATATGTTACATGTATGTCCTTCAATAGTCAATAAATGGATTAATATGCATCGAAATCATCTACTATGCTTTGGAAGGATTTGAGATGCTTTTTTTCCCCATCTAAGGAGGAAATTAACATCCAATTTCATGAAGCTTGGGTTAATTATTCACAATCCAAACCTTAATTAAATTACAACTTTATCAACTCAGTGCCTTTACCAAAGACAAGAACTCAATAGCCTGTGCGGCATTTAATTATCTTGGTGTTTCTTCTACAATACAGGCTTTTATTGCCATGATAATTTAACAAAGAGAAAATTCCAAATGAAAAATATCAACACAACTTGTAAGGAAACATGCCTGGTAAAAAGGAAGAGCAAAGAAAAAAGGCATGGTTTATTAGCACAGTTCATACATATCTTATTGTTCTGTGCATCATCGGATTAACAGCTTCCGATTACAAACAGCATCTATAATATTGTGTGGCTCGACACCCACTGTGAAATTTGGTTTAAGACTAGTAACATTTATTGAACTTCTCAGGCATATTCACTTTCCTTCTGATAAGATGTATAATGTGGATACACAGGGAAGTGGCCAAATATGCTATTAAATAGGATTAGATTTGCTCCCAGTTGAAAACCACAGAAGGAACCAACCCCTGCATGGCTATTTACTCATATGATTCTTAGGAAATCACTTACCATCTCTGTTAACGATGGAAATGTTTTCCAGTCTATAAAATGAGACCTAATGTTATTTATTTTGCCTACTTTACAGATTTACTCTGAAAGTCAAATGAAACTTGCAGCAGTGAAATTATGTGTGAAATTAACTTATAAGTTGTAAACATACAACCAGAAATAACTAGACAGTCACCTACCATGTGTCCTTTGATTAATGTCTGGTCTTAGCAAAGCTGTGATACTTATTTCAGTGGATGTTCACCCTGTAGTAACAAAGAAAATCTAAAAAGAATTTCCATTTATCTTTGAGTAAGGACCTAATAAATGTTTTCGTGACTTAGAAGAGGTAGATTGATAAAGTTTATTCTTCTTAACAAATCTCTAGTCCAATAAAAATTAGATCTAGATGGTTTAGAGATACTTTCCTAAAAGTATGAAAATAAACTATCATATTAGGTTGTAGCCACATATCCTGTGTGTGACAGATGTCACATACTAGGTCATTTTACCTAGTACCTCAGCCTCTGGAAATTGCCTAATGGCTCAGAGTATTAAAACATGGTCTCTCTCACGTCTTTCCTCTTTGGTCATCCCATGTCTTCCCACCCATTAGGAGCTTCTTCAACTCTTTTGGCAAGAAGAAAATAAAAGAGAATTGAAAAATCAGAACTATTCTTAGATCCTACCTACATTCTTAGATGCCTACCATTTCTTTCCCTGTTTCCTTGGCCTAGCTCCTTTCTGAACCAAGCACAGGAACTCAAAAGGGTTGGTGTAGATATTATCTGACCCTGTGAGCCCCATAATTCTTTCAAATGCTGTTACCAACTTTCATCAAAACACATAGCTAAAGAAAGACTGCACAAATGTCCAAGATTAGACTTTAAGTTTTAAAAAGCACAAGCTCACACAGAAAGTATACACACACAAAATAAAGGCTAGTGTCATTTTTATCATTTGTCATCTATGATGAACTGTATATACATTTTCAAACACCAACAGTAGGGAAAAGCAACACAACAAACACTTTGCAGGAAAATTTGCAAAGGCAAACATTTTAAACATAGTTTATTCTTGTTTCAGATAAAGAATGAGTTTTGCCTTTAAAATAGAAACAATATAAACTGCTGAAGTACTTGAAACCAGAATCATGTCTGAGGCCAACTTCAACCTGATCTATCTTGTTCTTCTAAGGAATTTTCTAGTATGAAATGATAGCAGAGCCAAAGATGCATACTCACCAAGTGAACATAAGGCACAAAGTATCCAAAAAGTGCAAGTGGTATTCCAACTGCCCATACTGCATAAGCTGTCACCTTGAAGATGGCAAAATTGAAAATTTTTTTTGGAGGACTCAATTTTTTCCTGGAAAAGAGGGAGAATCTGCTGCTTTCACTCTCTTTGTCTTTAGCAATGAAATCAAGAGGTCGGTAAGTAAAGCCAGCCAGAATGAGAACAAACATGAAGATGCAGAGGACCCTCAGTGTATTAAAGAGGCCCATGTTGTCAATCAGAACCCTTAAAAACAAAGGGAGCAAAATTGTGAAGAGACTGCTGCCAGCGGTGACAATGCCATTCACAAGTCCAAGGCGCTTCTTGAAATAGTGTCCCAAAATGACTAGTGAGGGCTGGTATGCAAAGGAGCAGCCACAGGCAAATATGATTCCATAGGTAAGATACAAAGGCTCGATGGAGCTGTATAAGGATGAAAAAGATGGAAAGTAGCTTTAATTATTTTTATCATATGCTTGGTAGTATAAAACCTTATAGTAAAAGTAGGTTTTAGTTAACATATTTTCTGAAAATAAAAATTAACCAAAAACAAAGGGGAAAGGCTTAATAGATCAAGAAAGTAGCACTAGACATAATTTAATCTAAATGGGTGAAAAAATGATCATGAAAATCATCAGTAATTTTGTTTCCACATTCCTTTCCACAGGTTTCCAGTGACCCACACAACACTGGATAAGAACTGTGCTCTCCACAGCTCAAAAATAAAGATCAATGCCAGAGGGGCCTCAGAAAAATTAACAGTGATTAACTAATAAATAAGATCTTGACTCACTTCTAACATTAGAATTACAAAAACCCATTATTTCGTGGAATTTTCTCAGGTACTTACTAGGTGATCTAGTAAAAGAAAAGGTTGCATTTGATATTATCTTCCCAAGGTTACTTCAAGAACATTTACACAGAAGCACAGTGTGCCTTGTTCTTGCTGGCCTATGGGCTACAGACCAACCTTCGCCCTGTATTACACTGTTGCCAGCACTGTGCAAGATAACAAGAAATCATACTCTGATTGTAGAAAGCCTTAATTAAACTGTTGGGTAGTGATCCCAGTTTGTAAGCTGTAAGCCTGTATATGTCTCAAAAGAATAATAAGAGATTTAAAAATTTTATAGCTTAACCAAGTAATTTTATACCTCTTAGGAAACAACAGATCATATAATTATATGCTTTGAAACTATTAAGATAAAGAGTAAAAGAAAACTAAAGTTTTTTGTTAAGTCAGATTCAAAAAACAATTTATCAGCAGTAAAGGCAAACAATTTATTAGAAACTAAGATGGAAAAAGTTGGTTAATAATTAAATTTTGGACTATAACGCTAGTTTAGCAATATGCTGAAGTAATCTACAAGTAATTCCAGAATCTGGTAAAATTAAGGCATGGTGGCAAAGTCTCTGTTTGAAACACGTTTTCCCCTTCATTAATCCAACTAATACCATCTTCACATCAAGCTCAATAATTCTAGGTTCTCCCAAATTAATCTCACTTCACTCTTGTACTGTTTACTGAATGTCTACGTTTCATTCTACAAACATATTAAATAGCTACTATGTACCGGTCATGTAGAAAAAATATTTCAAAAATATGATTCTCCCTTCAAGCTATTTCTTAATAAAAAGATATCTCTAATAATAATAATAATAATACCAAAATTTTTAAATACTTCATTCTGCATCAGATTTTCCACATAAGCAGTTTTCCATAACTGCAACTTCTTAAATTGTCAAAACTTCTAAACAATTTTAAAAGAAAAAATCTAAAATCTATACATTTCTTTGCCTCCTTCAGTGTATATTTAAAATACTACTGACAATAAAATTATTGTTAGTTATATCACAGTATTACGGTATAATGTTGTCAGTTATAAGACCAGATAGCCATGCATATACATATCAGAAACATTCTTCTGAGCACATTTTAAAATGCTAACCATGAGATTAGCCTCATATCTCCCCTTCAGAAGAAAAATATACCTTTTATTGTGCCTTTTTTATTTCTAAATATTCACCTTATAAGAGATGGTTCAAGGGCTGAAATCTGACAACTGAATAAGAGCAGTATAAACATCAAATGTATACAAAAGGATTGAAAGAAAATAAGTGATGTGACCCAAATGCTGGAGACAGTTTTTCTAAGCAAGCGGAATGGGAACTAGAGGAAAAATAAATCCACCATTCGACACTAGAATTAATCCACACTTCTCCTTGCTGCTATGTATTGCTCTGAAGTTCTGAAGCCTTTCACCAAGGGTTAACTAATGAAATTGAATGGAAAATATGTGAACACTTTCATGTAAGGGAATCTAGTTTCAAGAAATCTTGCTGCTTCTGAATAGGGAAGGACACACTAGGTCACAATATAAAATACACATAGTTTTTGCTTGTCAGTGGTCCAAAAAGTTTGAAAAATAGCATTTGCTGTTGTCTATATGTGTGGTTTGTCTGCCAAACTATGTTACAGGCTATACGTGCTTTCTACCTCTCAATCTTCTCTGTACCAAAGCCTGAGTGCTGATATACTCAGCAAGTGGCAGAGCCGTAGGTACACACAGAGCGTATCTGGAGGCCTCCAGTTCAAAGATACCTGATGAGACATTAATAACACAATGTTACATTGCTGCCAAAAAGGACTAAAGATAAATGATTCAGGCTGAGGATTTGGTTCAGTGGTTCCAGCGCCTGCCTTGTAAGCTCAAGGACCCAAGTTCGATCACCAGTACTGGGCGGGAATAAAAAAGATAAATGATCTCACAGAATTACCTAAGAGCAACTTATTCCAAGTAAAACTTTTCTCTTTAAAAATAACAATTTTAAGTTAGATAGACGTATGAAAGAGGCTCAATTCAGATTTGAGGAAAGGGTGAGTGTGATAGAGGGTGAAATAAGTAAAGTGAAGATTTCTGCTAACTGAATGCCAATCAACAGAATTTTAAACAGGACAAGAAATGCAAATTTGCAGACTTTTTTCCTCCAATGATCGTAGTCATGTTTTTCAACTAAAATTTCATGACAATAAGTAGGAAAAAGAAAGAGACAGGAAATAAAGATAAACCACTGAAGTAAAAACAAAGCATGGAAATGATCCTAAGTCTTCTTGTTAATCATGTCCTGCTAGCCAAAGGTACATACTAAACCAGTGTTTTTCTCTCTGCAGATTATCCTAACCATACAAGGGAATTACTAGATGTGGGGCTGTTTCATAATATCCCCATCAAATCCTTGTAATTAGTCCCTTTTCAGTGCACTACATCTTTTCTTGACACACAGACTTCGGTGACTTTATGTTTTATTTTAAGGTGAATTTGACTGCTTCATTTTGCTGTAATATTTAAATATTTTAGTGTGTTCTTTTCTTTAAAGTACAGACAGGAATTCTCTACACTTATTAGAATTATTAAGAGCCTTCTTCCAATTAATAAAAGCATTTTCATATTGTTTATAAATCATATTATAATCCCATTTGTACCCCTTTGGGCCTCAGACAGAGCTGAACTTAAAACTAAGATCATTACTTTAGATAACTCACAGTTATAACTTGATTCCTTTAGGGTTTTTATGAAAATGGAAAAACACAAAAGAAACATTTTTATTGACTCTAGGAAACACATTATGCTGATGACTACATCTTAAGCACTGCAAGCAAAATCTTTAAAATCCTCAAGTTCTGGGGCCGGGGATTTAGCTCAGCAGTTTGATGGCCTGACATGCAAGCACAAGGACCCAAGTTCAATCCCCGGTACCAAAAAAACAAAAAACAAAATAAATAAAATCCTCAAGTTCTGTTTTACTGCTATGAATGGTAGTTCAATTTACAAGTTATATTGCCTAATGCTTTAAGGATCTTCCTTATAAACTAAAAAGTTTCCTAAAGGAAAATTTTAAGGTTAACAATTATTCAAGAGTTACATAAAGAAACCAAGTCCTTACCTTACAAAAGAACTGGACATGAGTCCAATGAATCCCACAGCAGCACCCACAACAGCTGTTTTCTGACAACCAAGTATGTCTGTGAAGACACTGACTACAGGGCAGCAAAGGAAAATCATCCCCATGGACAGAGAGCTTACCCACGCTGTAAAAGAGGAAAAGAGGGGTCATTAAAACATGGCGAGTTACATTTGTACTCATCCACCTGGATATAATACACACTTAAAAATTAGTGCAAAAAGGTATTACCTCACTAATGCATGGGGGGAAAGCGGGAATAACTGATAACAAATCTGCTCACAACTGAAAGTACTGTCTAATTTGGATTTGCATAATTAGGATTTGCATAATGATTTTATATATTTAATTTAATTCTTGTAAAGTGTGTGTTCTGGGTTTTGTTTTTGTTTTTATTTTTTGGGGGGGTATCCAGAGATTGAACTCAGGACCTTGTGCTTGCAAGGCAGGCAGCAGAACGACTGAGCTAAATCTCCAGCCTAAAGTTTGTGCCTTTTACTAAACATTACCCTGTTTCTCTATAGGTAGATATTACCTATAGTTTTAAGCAATTTCTAATCTATGGGGAAAATTTTATTTTTAAAACTGAGATGTGTTTAGTAATGTATACCTAGGTGGTCACACGGCAAACAAATGGTGACCGCTACAGTCAGAATAGTAACTCTTGGTGGAAAGATTATAATCATTTGGACCCCATCCTTAAGGTATGATCATTTGCATAGGGCCTGGGCCTAGTTCTTTTGCTAAGGAAAAGGATACAGTAGAGGACAATTTTTGACTTGAATAACAGTTACTGGATATTCACTTTACAATTATTTATAAGATTAAACCAATGTTTTTGTACATTATCTTTTACAATAAAAAAATAAGAATCAGAAGTCCTAACTTCTGGTTTCGATTTTGTAAAAGCTTAAACAACAAAAAAGAGAAAATAAATATAAGTAAAAATAATCATAACTGTGTGCTGCCAAGTGCTCTCATGGGATATCCATAAGTTCTTCCAAGAAAGTATAACAAACTAATGGGGCCCACATGCACATGGGCTCTAGAACAATCCATCCGGATTCGAATCCCCAACTCTACAACTACAATATGTCCTTGGCTAGTCATTACCCCTCTGAATCTGTTTTCACAGCTTGAAAATGCATAAAATACATGCCTTCCACAATTACTAAGGATTAACAAAAGGATATCTCTATATTAATATCTATATACAGTATATATTTTGGTATTGAGGTTCTCTCTTCTCTTTCTTTATATATACATTTGCAGTACCACAGCCCTTTCTTTTCTGTCTTTTTGTGTCCTTACCTTCTCTCCCCACCTCCCTGCTTCTGCTGTCTCGTTCCCCACCTTTCTTTTTTCTTCCTCTCCTTCCTTCCTCCTTCCCTCTTCTCCCCTCCCTTTCTTTTCTCCCCTCCCCTCTTCCTCTTTCTCTTCTTCTCCTCCTATCCCTTCCCTCCATTAGGTCTTGCTAAGTTACTAAATTACCCAGGCTGGGCTCAAACTTCCAACTATCCTACATCAGCCTCCCAGAGTATTGGGGTTCTAAGTATGAGCTATCATGTCCCACTCTAGAAAAAGTATATTTTAATCTCAGTATCTGACATGTAAGCATTTAATAAGTTAGAGTGTAATAATGGTAACAAGTTGTCTTAAAAAATGAAAATCAACTGTACAGCTCTATCCAGCTCTGAAACTCTGAATTTCTCTATTTCCTTAGCAAATGAAGGGAGCCCAAACCCTATGCAAATGATCATTTCTTTATCCTGTATCAAAATGAACCTTTATCATACTGCTACTTCATTTATTTCTTAGGCTTCTTGCATTTTCACTTACTTTTAAATTACATGTACAGTATTTTAACCAGACATATTTTTATTTTTGTTTACCCTTACTAGAAAGAAGACTGTAATCTTAAAACATAATGAGGAGACTGCAAAGAATGCTACCTTGACTTAGTTGATGTTAGTGGAGGAGATTTAGAAGTTAACAGTAGAGGAAGGCTAACTGGTCAAGTAAATTAGCAAAACCCAATCCCACACTTGTAAAGCTATCTAGTATGAAGTCTGCTTATATGGGTTTTTTTTTAGCCTACTATCTTATATAAAAATTTCACAAATCCTTAATAATTTAATTCGCTTCAAATAAAGTTTAGTAACCCATCCTCACCATCAACACCAGCTGCCTTGCTTGCCCCTACCCTGCACCCACCACCAATACCAGCCACCTTCTGCATCCTGTGGGAGAGGAGAGAGGCACTGCCCCACCCCAGACACCAGTCACCTGGCATACACTGTACAGGAGAAAAGGAGGGTGGCGAAACTCCCAAATCCTACCTGGCTTTGCACCTTGGTTCTCCTCAGCACAGGGCAGCTGAGATGACAACCAAAAGACCAACCTGACTGAGGACAAGATCAACACCCAGGAGAGTTTTACTCCAGAATTAAAATGTTACCCTACTGCAGAGACTTGCAGAGAGACAGCCTTGGGAGATAGGCTTAGAGATAGTGACAGCTAGACAGAGATTCCCCTGAGAAGCTCAAGCTCAAGCCAGGAACATCACAGGGCCTGTATTCTGTGGTGGGAGGCCAGTCTGATGGATGCAGAAGTGGATAGATATGAAAGAGATGGCATTTAATCCAGTGATCTGCTTGTACCGTTACCTCCATTCAGCAGAAAATAGTAATCTGATTTACTGTAGGTCATTTTCTGGGTTGCTTAAAAGTCTACACTAAAATTACAGACCTCTTTGCTTTGATTAAAAGGTGGCTCATGAGTGGTTCTTAGAATCTGTCAGTATCCAGTTTATTTTTGATGTCATTGTTATCACTGATTTTACTACTACAGCCAAGGTAACACAGTTGGTACTTTCAATTTACTTTCTCTGTATGCCAATATCTGGATTGCCTGGGGGTCATAAACAAAACTGTGGTTCATTCCAGAGAACCAGGCACTAGGCCAGTGAAGCTGCAAACTCCAGCAAAGAAAACACATAAAATATAGAAACATGAAGAAACAAGGCAATAAAATGCCTCCAAAAACTCCCAACTCCGCCAAAGCCAACCCAAAGGCATCAAGGAGAAGGAAATCATAAGCCACACAGCAGAAATGTCTGAAAAGGTATCAGTGGAAGTAACAAAACAATTAAATAGGGCTAGAAAATTCAAAGATGATGTAATAAAAGGGATAATGACCCAACTGACTCAAATGATAAGCAAGTCTAGAGAAGGCAGTAATAAAAATCTAGTGAAGCTAAATAAAGATATATAAAACATGAGCACTCAGCATAGGAAAGGGTGGGAATCCATAAAAAAGGAGTTTTAAAAAATATATAAATAGTGTATTTACTCTAAACAGCAACACCAAAAAAAAACAAAAAGCCATATTAACACAAAAGGAAGTGATGCAGAATTCAGATTCTAGTTGACTTTGGATCTGAAGCTTATAAAAAATACAGCCCAGTTCTGAGAATGGATGAAGGGCAGGAGGGGCAAGTGATGTTCTTCTTGTACATCCAGTAAAGGCTATGGACAGCTCTAAGCAGTATGAAGCATGCCTGCCTCAGAGAGCAGAGGACCAGCTTCTTCTAGGGAATTTACCCAAGTATAAAAGTTGATAATTTTACAGAAGTTGAGATACTGACATCAATATTAAAATAAAACCAAGTTTTACATAACAATAAAAATATAAAAGACTGAAGGAAGAGACCCTGAATGAAAACAGGGTAAATCAGTAGATAAAAACTATACGCCAGAGCTGGGAATGAAGATGACAACCCGCCCAGCCCTCCCTGCAACTACTGACCATAAGAACCACTCTTGATTTGCCAAAGGTATAAATGAATTCTTCTAAACCAATCCCTTTGCGCAGACTCACAAGGCCACTGCTTACAAAGGCACAAGCATCTTGGCTTGTGCTTGGACCCTCTTCTCATATTCCAATTATCAATTATGTAGGGCTCTACTTGAGCTATATCTCAGTATTTCTTGGGAAATGTCCACTTAAAAGTTCCTGAAGGATAAAATCTGTTTGATCGTGATGTCTTTCTCCAGGATGGACAGGCACACTGTGTCTAAGCAGTACACATCTGCCCAATTTTACATTTTGGTAGTATGAACAAGCCTCTTTCCCATGGAGTTCCCTTCTTCCTGGGGATGGCACACTCCCCAGTTCATCAGGTTCACTGTGCCATCAGGGTTCTCGGAGGGGACAGCCGCAAAGCCAAATGGATATCTTTCCTCCAAGCCTGTCTCTCATGGGCAATTCCCAGCAGCCAGTCGGTAGAGTGCCTTCTTTGGGATAACAAAAATGATCTAAATTTGATTGTGGTCATGACTGTACAACTCTTTCAATGTGTTAAAAATCTACTGAATCCTACACTTTAAGCTTGTATATTGTATGGTATGCAAATTTTAATTAATCTTGTTATTTTAAATTAGAAAAAAAAAGAAATCCAGGAGATTAAAAATACAATTGAACATATGGGCAGCAGAAATGACCACTGTGAGGAGTGTCTAATCTACAATACAGAGCTGTGGTTACTGAGCGGTTAATACAAGATGTCTTAAAAACAAGAGAACATAAAAAATTGACCCAAGAGCTACTAGATGACTCAAAGATGACTGACATAAGAGTAACTGGAATTAATGAAAAATCAGAAGACAGCACAAAGGTTATTTTAAAAACCTGTAAGAAATAAGAAACAGTAGAAAACTTTCCAGACATAGAAAAACATTTAACATACAGATAGGTGATGCATACAGAACCCTAAATAGCCATGATGAGGAAAAAAAAAAAAAAAGCTCTCAATGCCACATAATAAAATACCAAGAATCCAATATAATAAAATCTTTAAAGCTGTTAGAGAAAAGCAACAAATCACTTATAAAGGAAAACTCATCAGAATTACAACAGACTTCTCAACACAAACCTGAAAGGCGCAGGAGGAAGAGCTTGGAATGAATTATTTCAAGCCCTAAAAGGAAACAATTTCCAATCCAGATTAACATATTCTGTAAAATTCTTTCAATTTTTTAAAGTTTACTTTATTAGCACGTGTATAGTATATGTTTCATTTAGTTAGTAGATCCATATAACACATCTTAATTCCTTCTTTCCTCTCTTTTCCCTCTTCTCTCTCCCTCCCCTCCACCCATCTCTTGATCCTCTTCCTTTTCCTGCATATTTGCAATACACAGTGTTTATGTTCCTTGTGTGGAGTTGGGTCACATACATAACACATCTCAATTCCTTTTTTAATTTCCTATCCCTCCCCTTTCTCTCCACTCTCTTCAAAATTAACAAGAGAAATAAGATGTTTCCATGATAAAGAGCACCTAAAGAAAGGCATGACCACGATACCAACACACCAAAAAATTCCTAAGGACCTCCTAGACCTAGAAAGAGAAAATGAAGCTAACAATGCCAAAAGGTCAAACAGAATGAATGCATCAGGTAGGGCTAGCAATTAAGTAAAAGCAGAAAAAAGTAAAACAGCAACAAATAAATAATACAATGACAGGAATAAGCTAATCCCTATTAATTATAACTATAAATGTGAATGGACTCAATTGGCCAATCAAAAGACACAGATTAGCAGAATAAATCAATAAATAAAATCTAACAGTGCTGTATACAAGAAACACATCTAATACAAAAAGAAATTGAAAATGGCTAAAGGGGAAGTAGGAAGGGGAGGGGAAAGGAAATAAGGGAAAAGAAAAAATGTGAAAAAATGATAAAATGGAAACAAATTCTTTGTAAATAGGGAAGGGTGAAGGGGGTGAAAGGATGGCAGGGGTATGGGAAAAAAACAAGAACCAAGATACATCATGTAAAGGTACAAGATCCCAATGATAAATAACTGTATTATTTTTTCTTTAAATGTACCAATAAACTTAATGGAAAAACAAAAAACAAAAAGAAATTGATAGCCTAGAAACTGAAGTATGGAAAACAATATTGCAACAGGTACCTGAAAACAACTGGGAGTAGCTATCTTATATTTATACAAAGTTGATCAAGAGAGACAAAAACATTACAAATTGGTTAAAAGAACTATTCAGCAGGAAGATATAATAATTATATATGCACCAAATGGCAGCACACTCAACTTCAAAAAACAAACACTAGTGGACATAAAAGATCAGATAAACATCAACACAATTTTAGTGGGGGATCTCAACACCCCACTATCACAAACTAAACAAAAAATTAACAAAGAAATATCAGAATTGAAGCAGACCTTTGAACAAGTGAACTTAATAGACATTGACAGAGTGTTCTACCCAAAAGAGTATACATTCTTTTAGGCAACACATGGTACTTTCTCCAAAATAGACAATAGACTAAGCTAAAGTAAAGTAAGCTTAAGTAAATGTAAACGAATAAAAATTTTATGATACTGTCAGATAACAGTGCTATGAAACCAGATATCAGTGGCCAAAGAAACCTTAGAAACTACGCAAATATTTGGAAATTAGACAACACACTCTTGATTAATTAATGGGTCACAGAAGAAATTAAGGAACAAATAAGACAGTTCCTAGGATTAAATGATAGCATCAGGGGTGAAGGGAGGGCAGGGACAAGGGTAAAAAATGAGAACCAAGACCACCTGTCATGTAAAGCTACAAGATCCCAATAATGAATGTAACTGTACTGTATACCTAAAATGTACCAATAAACTCAATAAAAGAAAAAAATAAATGATAGCACCAGTACAACATACCAGAACTTATGGGACAAAATAAAATCAGTCCTAAGAAGAAACTTTACAGGTGTAAATGCTCATACTAAAAAAAAAAAAATTATGTGCTCAAATAAATAATCTAACAATACATCTCAAGGTCTTAGAAAAACAATTTAAACCCAGAACTTATACAAGGAAGGAAATTATAAAGACCAGAGCAGAAATCAGTGAAATGGAGTCTAGAAGAACAACATAAAGAGTCCATGAATCAAAGAGATGATTCTTTGAGAGAATAAACAAAACAGACAAACCCTTACCAATCATACAAAAACAAGGAAAGATAAGACACAAGTCAATGCAATCAGAAATGAAAAAGATCACAAGATCACAAGAGACACTGCCAAAATCCAAAAACTTACTGGCAACAAGTTCACAAACTTATATACCAAAAAACTGTACAACTCCAAAGAATTAGAAAATTTCTAGATACACATGAATTACCAAAATTGAACCAAGAAGACTTAAAAATCTTGAATGATCCAATAACAGACAATGAAACTAAAGAGTAATAAAAAAAAAAACCTACCAACTAGGAAAAGTCCAGGACCTGAGAAAATTCAACAAGATCTTCAGGAAAGATCTAACACCAACATGCTTCACACTCTTTAATGTAATCAAGGGGGAAGGCATACTCCCAAAATCATTCTTGGAAGCTAGCATTACCCTGATCCCCAAACCAGACAAGAATCCAACCAATTTCTCTAATGAATATAGATGCAAAAATTCTCAACAAGGCACTGACAAACAGAATGCAACAAATTATCAAAAAGACATACATAAGTCAATAAATGTAATTCATCACATAAAACAGAAGCAAAGCAAAAATTACATGATCATCTCAATGACACAAGAAAAAGCCTTTGACAAAATTCAACATCAAAGTTCAGGGATTTAGCTCAGTGGTGCCATGCCTGCCTGGCAAGTCCTGAGTTTGATCCCCAGTACCAAAAAAAAAAAAAAAAAAAGCCAACATCCATTCATGATAAAAACCCTGAAGAGAAAAGATATACAAGGACCATACTGTATTCTGATAAAAAAAAATTTATGATCAACCTATTGCCAACATAATATTAAGTAGGGAAAAACTAAATGCTTTTCCTCTAATATCAGGAATAAGACACAATCGCCACTTCTGTACAACACAGTCCTCAAAACATTAGCCAGACCAATCAGGCAAGAGAAAGAAATAAAAGGATATGTATAGGAAAGGATGACGTCAAAGTATTATTTTCAGAAAACATGAATTCCAAAAATTCCAGCAAAAGAATTATAGAATTAACAGCCAAATTCAGCAATGTAGCAGGATACAAAACCAACAGCATTCCTATACAAAAAAAAAAAAAAAAAAAAGAATTGACTGAGAAAGAAATCCAGAAAGCAATACTATTCACAATAGCATCAAGAAAAATTAAATACTTAGGAATTAACTTAACCAAGGAAGTGAAAGACCTCTACAGTGAAAACTACATCATTCTGACAAGGAAATCAAAGAGGATGTTATGCTTTGGTCTAGATGCCCCCACCCAAAGTCTCATGTGGTCATAGGCTTGATTTAGTGTGTGTGAAACTGGAATTGATTCATGATGCAATGCTAGGCTCAAGGGCACTTGGATTAATGGTGTGAGTGCTACCTACCCTAAGTAGTCTGAATAAAATAAAAGGGGAGGGAGACATTGTTAACTCTCTTGTTACCTTTGCTGCCTTCTATGTGGGCGCCATGTTGTTTGTGCTCTGCCATGCTTGTTTGTCATCCCTGCCTTGGAGTCAGCTGATTATGGACTGAAACCTCTATCAACTATAAGCCAAATAAATCCCTTCCCATTTAACTTTGGGTGTTGGGTATTTTGTCTCAGCAATGAGGGAAAAATAACACAGAGGACATCAGAAAATGGAAAGATCACATGTTTCTGGATAGGTAGAATCAATATAGTCAAAATGGCTAAACTTCTAAGATACATGAGTTAAGCACAATCCCAATCAAAATATCAACAGCATTCCTCACAAATGTAGAGAGAGCAATCCTGAAATTCATGTGGAACCAGAAAAGACCCAAAATAGAGTAATAAATTTTGTGTAAAAAAGAGCAAAGCAGAAGAATTCACAATCCTGGATTTGAGATTATATTACAGAGCTACAGTGATTTTAAAAAAACAAACAAACCAGCATGTACTAGCACAGAAACAGATACACAAATCAATGGAACAGAATAGAGGAAGCAGAAACAACCTTGGGCACATTCAGCTACTTGATCTTTGACAAAGGGGCCAAAGACATACACTGGAAAAAGCCTTTTTAATAAATGGTGCTGGCAGGGACAAGGGGAAAAAATGAGAACCAAGACCTGTCATGTAAAGGTACAAGATCCCAATGATGAGTGTAACTGTACTGTATACCTAAAATGTACCAATAAACTCAACGAGAGGAAAACAAAGATGTGTTTTAACAAAATATGATGATGATTAAAGATATTAAGATGTTTAACAATAAATAAATGGCGTTGAGAGAATTGGCCACCCACATGAAGAAAGAATGCAACTAGACCTGTGTATCTCACCACATACTAAAGTACAAGAAAACGAATCAAAGATCTACATGTCAAAAGAGAAACAATTTTCTAGAAGATAATATGGGTAAAACTCTTGAAGACATAGGCATAGGCCACAACTTTCTGAACAGAACTCCAATGGCATCAGAAATAATCCAAGAATCAACAAATGGGATCATATTAAATTAAAAACCTTCTGCACAGCAAAGGAAACAAACAACACAATGAAGAGACAACCTACAGAATGGGAAAAAATTTTGCCAGCTATTTCTCAGACAGAAGACTAATTTCTAAAGTATATAAATAACTCCAAAAATTAAGAATCCCCAAAATAAAAGACCTAATCAAAAAATGGAGAACTGAAGTCACACAATAACACACGAAAAACTCTTCAACATAACTGACCATTAAAGAAATGCAAATTAAAACAATAATGAGATTCCATCTCATTCCAGAAAGAATATCTATCATGAAGAAATCAAATTATAACAAATGCTAACAAGACTGCAAGGAAAAAGAAACCCTTCTATACTGTTGGTGGTAATATAAACTAATACAACTACTCTGAAAATCAATACAGGGATGGGGATTTAGTTCAGTGGTTCTGCTGCCTGCCTCTTAAGCACAAGATCCCAAGTTCGATCCCCCGTACCAAGAAAAAAAAAAAAAAGAAAGAAAATCAATATGAAGATTTCTTAAAAAACTAAAAATAGAAATTCCATTTGCCCTAGTTACTCTTCTGTATTTTTCCAAAAGAGTTAAAGATACCTTATTACAGTGGTACATGCATACCCATGTTTATAGCAGTACATTTCATAATAGCCAACTCTTTAAAGTAGCCTATATGTCCATCAATGGATGAATGGATTAAAAAAATGTGGTATTTGTACACAGTGGAATACTACTCTGTCATAAAAAGCATAAATTGAGTCATGTGTAGGAAAATACATACATCTTGAAGCCATAATGTTAAGTTAATGTTAAATGAAATAAAATGACACATAAGCTTAAATATCACATGACATTTCTTATATAAAAAACCCAAAATATAAAAAAGAGCAAAATAAAAGATAATAAGAAATAGGGAAATAGACTTTGTTTTTCAAATGGGAACAAGATCAAGAGATGGAGTGAGGGGGAGTGAGAAGAGAATGATAAAGAATTGAGATGTGTTATGTGCATCTACCAACTCTCCTCAAAAAAATGTAATCATTACATAGTGCAAAGATGTACTAATAAATTTAATTTTTAAGAAGAAAAAGTCGACCATATCACACAAAGTATATCACATGCATGCAAAATTGTAAAACATATAAATTAATCATTTTGACTGAAATACATCAGTGGGTACTTGGCAGCGAGCAGAATGGGACTATGAAGAACAGTGAAGTTTTTGGAGGTAATGTGTCTGTTCACTTTTTAACTGTAGTAATAGCTCCACTAGTGTATACAAATGTCAAAACTCATCAAACTGTATACTTAAAATGTGCAATTCATTATACCCATCAATTCTACCTCAATAAAAACAAAGCAAACCTATTCAGATTAGCCCAAAATAAAAAGCTAATATTAAAAACAATCACGTGAGATATAATAGGAAATAGAGAAAGAGAAATCTTTTGCAAAGGTAAGTAGACCAAGAGATGGTGAGAGGGGAGAGGAAAGGAATGAAAAAAGAATTAGGATGTTCTATGTATATATATCAACTCCCCATGAGGAATGTAATAATTTTATGCTGCAAATGTACTAATATGAAAATAAAAAAGTTTAAAAAATGAAATAAAACGGATAGAATTAAGAACAAATGCACACAATTAATGCTCTCAATAAACAGATGTCCCTCTACCCCACCTTATCCTGGGAGAAGCTCACACCTCAAATGAAATAAGACAAACTCCAGACTTCAATCAAGATGACACAGTGAACTCACATGTCCATGCATCATCCTCCATCCAAACACAAAGTAATAAAATAGTTAGAATATTTTTTAAAGGGGTTAAAAAATACCTGTCCATAGGTGAACTGCAAAAAGGGATGAGCTGGGTCAGCAGGCCTTCAGGGCTCCAGGTCTAGAAGCAGGCACTGGGCAACTGAAGAGTAAAGAGCACTAAGAGACAGAAGAAAAGCAAGCTGAGGTCAGAGATGCAACTCCCCTATACCTTGTAAAAGGCTAGAGGCAGAGGAAACAGGATGATATCTGCAGTTTCTATACTAAGTAAAGATTTACAAATTCACAGGCCTCTAGGAACCAGACTAGTGCCTGAAACTAGGATCCCACAATGCCTCTAGCTGAGTCTGAAAATTTTAGTGTTACTGTGGAAGTATGTAACACTTAAAAGGCCTGACTTTAAACTTGGGAATTCAGAGCCAGTTAAAAGAAAGTACAAACCATAAAGTAGCAAGCGTGAGAAAATAAACAAACAAAATAACTAACTACCACTCAGAATGATTCTGTAAATTCAATTCTAAAACACTAAAGCCAACCAATGCTAAGAAAGCCAGACAATAAATCAGCAATTAGAAAATATTCCAGGTGAAATAATTTCATAGACCAGTCTACAAAACCAAAATGTCGGGCTGGGGGGTTAGCTCAGTGGTTCCACCACCTGCCTCGCAAGTGCATGGACCCAAGTTTGATCCCCAGTACCAAAAATAAAAAAATAATGTATATGCTTGGATTTAAAATAAATAAATAATTATCATTTAAAGATTAAGAAATTATGAAACAATGTATTAAAATATTAGAAATTCTGGATATGAAATAAGATGTCATTAAATTTTTTTTAAAAATCCAGTATGGCTAGGGATGTAGCTTGGTTAGAGTGCTTACCTAACATGTGTAAAGGTTCTGGGTTCAGTCCCAGAATAATGACACAAAAAAATCCAAGAGATGATGAAAGATTTCTACTTCAGATTTTAAAAGCTAACTACAGGGAAATTTTCAAGGATCCTAAAGGAGAATTTAAGGGTCTTCTCTCACAATAGAAAATTGTTTCTTCAAAATATTAGTACAAGTCATGAATTCAGGAAAACATGAATAAAATATGACTTCATTATAGCTTACAACAAATGCAATATAATACTAAAGTAAAAAGAATCAACCACAGCATGAGAGATCATTGTAATGCATATAACAAATTATCTGGCGCACATAAGATAGACATAAATCAGTAAGAAAAAGACAACAGAAATATAGACAAGAAAGTTAGGAGGAAATACTCAGAAAAGAAAATCCAATGGCCAATTTACATTTTGCAAAAATGCTCACTAGTACTCAGAAAAATGCAAATTAAAAGAATAGCATATCACAATTTGACAAAAATTAAGAAGTCTAAGTACACCAAGTTTTAATGAAGCAATAGAGAAATGGAACTCTCATACCTTCCAATAAACTGGAAAGACAATTTGGCAACACCTAGAAAAGCTGAAAAAGTGCATATCCCACATTCTAGCAATTCCACTCCTGGGTATTTTGTATACCCTAGAGAAACTTTGCTTATATGAACAAGTAGACATGAATAAGGATGTTCACTGATATCATTTGTAACAACAAAAAAATGGAAATAACCTAATGCCCATCAGCAGTAGAACAAAGAAATGCTGGTGTTAACATACAGTGGAATGTGGATTCACACATAAGTAGTAAAAATAGTGACAGTAGTACTAGACATGATGAGAATAATAAAGTCAGGATATTGATTACCTCTGAGAAGGCATAGATGAAAGGATTAGAAATAGAGAAGGGCACACAGGGTATAACAGTTAAGTTGGTAAAGTTTATCTTTTACAAAAGGAGAAAAAATTAGGATCTAGATAGTGAGTAGTAATCAGAAAATGCATGTTATGTTATTCCCTGGATTTTGTTTGTTTTAAACACTGAATGATTAAAAAAAAAAAGAAGAGGAGGTTTAGGTATATATAGTTCAGACATAGACCACTTGCCTGGCCCTGGGTTCTAATGCCAGCATGGGGGAACACCAAAAAACAATTTTAAAAGATGCTAAAGTTAGTTTCGAATCCTCAAAAAGTTATTCTAAAAGAGATAGAATAGCTTTGCTAAAAAAAAAATCCTAAACATAGGAAAAATGACTTCATAGCTCATTTGTAAATTAGAAAATACTATGCAAAACTGAAATCTTAAAATTTCATATATTTCATTGTTCTGGAGTTAAGGTTTCTCTGTATGTTAATAA